GATTCAGTGCAAGCCTTTTGGTTTTTAGTTTCTGTGCATGGAGTTTTCAGTGATGACGTGGTTAAGGTGTGCTTCTCTGTCTCAGCAGTTGGAGAGCTACAGTATTCTGCCCTGCTGCTCCAACTGTGGAGACACAGTTTTTTTGCACTGGAAGCCAAATTCCCATAGATCCCATAAGGAGGCATTCACTGCTGAACTTCCATAAATGTAGTGCTGTGTTCTGTGTCCCTGAAGTCTGCATGAGAGGTATTCATGCATGCATTCACAATCGTTAGAAGCATTTGTATACTTTCTGTACGTCAGTGTGTAAAGGGTTAACAACTGAAAAACAGATCAGCGACATGAAATATGACAGTTTTTCCATTACTAAGAAAAACTCAAAACAAGTTAAAAATTGAACTGAAAGATAAAATGTTTTCGGGGTGTTTTATTACTCATGCAGGAGGTTACATCAGTGTGTAGATAATATGACACACAACGATACAGATCTGGAGTCTTTAAGATGGATTTAGTGCTTGTACTGCTGTAGGCTTCGTGGTCATGAAAGCTTGCTTCAATAAGTTTTTCTTGCAAATGCAAATTATTGTTTAGTTTAGAGGAAGTGAAAATGAAACATAATTACAGCAGAAATATTTTTAGAAACTTGTCAAAAGCTTGTTTAAAATTAAACCTTATGGAGCATATACAAATAACAAACTGAGTCCACATTTTCAATACCCACATTTGAGCCGGCACACTTCTGAGAAGTCAGGAAATTAGTCGAGCACAATATTCAACAACTAGAACCAATTTTTCTGTTCAGGAATGGAAGTAAATAACTTTAACTGGGTTTCTTAATCAAAAATAGTGATGTGCTTTACTATCCTTTCTGCTTTTTTGTAGAACAGTCAATTTGAAAATTCATACATAACAGTAATAATTTTAGCATTAAAAATATGATTTTAATTAAAGAGATTTCACCAACAGGTGGATTAACCATTATAGAAACAAAAACAACTAATAATATTAATATTTGTTTACATATATATGTATATATGTATGTATGTATATATAGCGTATATATATATATATATATATATAGAGAGAGAGAGAGTCATTTTTAGTACGATTCCATCAGGCCTGAGTTCCTGTAAATGGATCTGTGCAGGCTTCGTGTCAGCACTCCAGACTGTACAGTATTGTGCTCTAATGAGGGGTGTCTCTGGCAGTCTCTCTCACACACATTCCAGCCAGAGAAATCTTCTCTCATAGAGCCAAACAAGCCCAACACTGGACACCGAGAGGCAGCCAAGCACGCAGCACATGACCGTAAATACCAACACACCTACATGCACATACATACTCAATGTGCATACAGTAAAACTTCTGTCAATGATATACATTTCATACAAAGCAAATGTACATAAAGAACCCATTTCATACAATATAATATCTTTATTTTTTGTCATTAAGTGGTTGTAAGTGGAAATAACACAGCGGCTGTCACGTTCTAAGACTTGTCAACACTTGATGTTAATATTGAGAGAATCGTTTTAGACAACAGGAGTAACAGATGTGTGTTTTGAATTGAAAATATTCCGATGCGTATTTCAGTTTCCTTTCTCCATGAACTGAAAGAAACAAATTGCTTAATGCAGAAGACTCAGATGCTTTTGATTGTCTGTTAATGCCCCTATAAAATATATTTTCTGTAAATTAAAGGTTTGTTTCATGCATTTAGACATAAATTTTGGCAAGCAAAGGCCATCTGCAAAAAAAATTACAAAATAAATAAAAATCGATGTTTACCCAGTACGATCACCTTTCTCTGTGTTCTGCTGCACATCCACATCTTTTGCATGGTACTCATATTTTTTTCTGTTTACATGTAACATGTTACAGTTCATCAGAATTGCACTGCACTATTCAACATGCTATACATTTCATAAAGTACAGCATCAAGCAGATTGCCCCTAAGCTTTTATTAGACCCTAATAAAAGACCTGTCCACCATATAAAAAGCCTCAGGATCTGAAAAATGGTGCCAGTGGGAAAAAGCCCTAAATCTGCATTCTTACAAAAGTCCAGCTGCATAGAAGTGTTTGGAAAATAAAGCAACTGCTGACTTTACTTATTTATTTATTGCTGTGTTCATTGTTCTGCTGAATTTATTTATTTGTTGTCAATCTCTAGTTTAAAATCGTCTGAATACAACAATGATGTCAATTTTGTAAATTATGATCCCATGTAGAGGGAAACTATTAGCTGAAACAGAGTATTTCTTAAGCGATGACTATCTGTGATTTACCCAGGTGTTCCCCAGTAGTCGATCGGATCAGCTCCATGCTTGGTTAATTTTCAGTTTTAACAAAAGACTCATGGAAGAGCGGGGGTTTTCAACTTAATCATTTAAATAAGTAATAAGTTTTTGTTACAGTTTTTTTTTTCACTAACCAAGAAAAGTACCTTCGGCTTATTGTCACACTGAATAATAAAAGTGTCTTTCTAAGTAAGCCATGGCTTTGTGAGCTACGGTGATGACTAAGAGCCAAACTGAGGCTTTAAAACAGTCAACCATAAACTAATTGATGAGGTCACGGTGCCCACATTCATTAGTATTTACAGTACATGGATCCCTATTTAATGTACAGTGGTCATATGATGTGTAAAGGAATCATAGCTGTAAACTGACAAACGACAATTATCTGTTGACTTATTCATCACATCCTTCCACATCATTCTGACTCGAGCTGGGATTTACCTTTTGCTGCCCAGGCTCTGAGGGGGCTGTTGTCATCAATGATGTGGTAGAAAGTGAGAGGGATGATGAGGAAGGGGCTTTCACTGGACGTGTCCACCTGGAAAGGCACATTTCTCTGGTCCAGCCGCACCGTCTCCCCCTCCTTTGTCAGGGACGTCTGAAGCAACTTCCCCGTCACCTGGGAGCCAAGATGCAGTGAGTAAATGTAGCCATGAGGTTGGAGAAGGCATCCTGTAACCAGAAGGCCCCAGGTTTAATACCTGCACTGGCCATCATCTCCATGTCCTTGAGCAAGGCACTGATGCGTATCATTCGCTTTATTTGTCACCAGCAAGCTTTTCCTCAGCAAAGCAAATATTCAGATAACAGGAAAACGTTTTACAGACATGAAGCGACTCATAATGAAAAACACACTTTCCAGGAGCTAAACATAAATAGTAACTCCAAACAGTTACAGGAAGAAGGCTTTCATATATTACAAAAGGATATTTTAAGCAGCAATAATCAGTTTGTAGGTGCTGCTGCATTACCTGGCAACCTAACAGCAGGCTTTTACGCATGTTGGCCACTCGAATCATGAGGCATGGCCGTCCCTCGTGATTCGACACGACAGCGTGTTGGCTGAACTTCACCGTCTCTCCTCTCTTTTTGGGACGAGCAACCTGGAAGGCGAGAAAAGCAAAGCCGAAGCTGTTGTCGATATTCGGCAACCATTTATCAGGCTTCTTATTTCAGTTTTTGAAACAAAATAACCCAGACATGTTGAAAAAGAAGACAATGAAGGAGGAAATTACAAGATCATGTTGACAAGACAGACTGTTGAATTTATAGACCACAAGCAGGAGGAAGCAGCTGCGAGAAACCTCATTATGATAGATATAAGTGCTGATATACTGTAATACCAACACACAGCGTGACATTTCTTGATAAGGATACTGACTGCTGTAATGATACTGTGAAGAAAACATATGAGGGCAAAAGATACGTGTAGCAACCCCCTCAGCTGACGGGAAAATGTGTCAAAAGATACTTAAAAGGAACAGTGATAACAATGCAACCCACATGTTTTAAAAATACATGTTTAAGATGCTGAACAAAGAATCCAACATTGAAGGCAGACAGCAAGAAGAAATGGTTTAAGTAAGCTACTTTGTATTTACAGTGGTCCCTCGCTATAACACAGTTCACCTTTTGCGGCCTCACTGTTTCTGGGATTTTTTTTGGTGCAATTTTGCATGCTTTTTTTATTTTATTTTTGAAAAAAATAAAATAAAATTGCATCCTGATTGGCTGTAGACCAGCCAATCATGACTGGTCTCATGCCATATCTCCTGTACAGTACAGAATGCATTCAGCATTCTGAAGTGCTGCACTGTACGTTTGTAAGTTTTCTCCCCAACAAACACAACAATGTCGACCAAATGTTTGGCACCGTCAAAGGCATGGGTGCCTTTGGTTTCTTTTTATATTACTGGATTTATTTTTCTACGAAGGTTTGAACTTTGAGAGTGTTTAAACAAGAGAGAAAAGCGTGAAAATGTTTATACCTATCTGAAAAAAGTGTATAAAGTGAGGGGTTTTATAGCCTGAAAACATCTATAATAATTGTAAGAAATAAAGTTGGCTACTTTGCGGATTTCACCTATCGGGGGTTATTTTTAGAACGTAACTCCTGTGATAAACGAGGGACCACTGTATGCACATACATAATCCTATGTACACGAAAGGACAAGATGCAGTTATTTTGACTTAATTTATTCTCTCACAACTTTTCTGATGATCAAATTTGGCGTTTCTAAAATGTCTTCTAAACTTAAAACTACCTTTGCGAGGAAAGTGCCGGTGATGAAGATCTCCATCACCATCGTGACGACCAGCTGGAAGATGAGAAGGACAATTGCTACAGGACACTCCTCTGTGATGCACCTGAAGCCGTAGCCAATCGTGGTTTGGGATTCCAGAGAGAAGAGGAAGGCCCCTGTCAGGGTCTTCACTTCCATTACACACGGCGTGTGGTTGGAGGGGGGGTCAAACTCTGTGAGAATGTAGGCAGAAAGGAAGATCTGCAAATCACTTACAGGATAATTACATTGTTCCTTTTCTCAGCCTTCACTGTCCTGCCTTACTCATTTACAGAAAGGTGTGAGCGCACTGCAAAGGCAGTAATGTAAAGGATTATAACATTTTAAAAACTATAAAATGTAACAATTCACAAAATATAGAATATCTGAAGTGATTTGTCCAATAGCAAAA